GTAGTATGTAGTATGTAGTATGTAGCATGTAGCATGTAGTCGTCGTCGTCGTCGTAGTACTACTAGTAGTAGTAGTAGTAGTAGTAGTACTGCTGTTATTCCTATAGGAATAGCAGCAGTAGTAGTGGCGGTGGTGGTGGTGGTGGCAGTGGCAGTGGCAGTGGCAGTGGCAGTGGCAGTTGCAGTGGTGGTGGGCTGGTGGCCGTGACAGAGTGGCAGAGGCAGTGGTAGTGGTGATGTTCAATCGTTGCATCTCTGAGGAGACACAAAAGCTGCCCCAGCCGCCAAGCTTCGTGAGCGAGGCGACTAAAGGGCTTTTTCAGAGTTTGGGTAGTAGGGCGTGCCTCGCCCAGCAGAGTCCATTTCGATCCGTCGTGCGGAGGCCGAGACGAGCATCGTTGGTGGTGAGGCGGAGCAGAAAGCCAGCGAGTGTTGTGCTTGAGTTTTGCCGATTTGCAGTTCGCATGGCTGCTGGTAAGCTTTGTAAGTTGGCTGCCAGGAGCCGGCGAGGCTCCCACAACCACAGAGTTTTGCGACCGCCAGCGAGGCCTAATTCCTGTCGAGATGGCTTTGTTGTTGTTGTCGTGGTGGTGGTAGTGCTTTGTTCACTCCTACCAGCGCTGGGGCAAATGCTGCCGCTAAATCGCGAAGACAACCTGTGCGACCCTCACAGAGATGTATGCTGCGGGCAAGCCTTCCTGTTTCGGGCTTGACTTTCAAGGCGGCAAAATCCTTGAACGTAAAGTCTGTTGGCGCTACCCACGCAAGAAACAGGTTGATATTTCCGGGGTGAGCTTTTCTCGACCAAAGCCTTGGAGTTCAAGCTCGTCTTCCTTCTTAAGGGGAACTTTGTTACATGCACCATGCAGCACACTTCTCGATCGGTCGTTCTGGGGCAGGCGGAAGTTGCCACCGTTGAGGCGTGGTTGTTCGGACTGTGTGCTGTGTGCTTGTGAGGATACCGGCTTAGGTCTTGAGGCGTTTCTGTGTGCCACGGTCTGTCTTGTGAAAGGGCGGAAACGTCCCTGCAAGTTGAAGTCCACAGCACCCCGCTCTGCATCACAGGAGACCAAGCTTCCACAGCCGCCGAGCTTCGCGACCAGCGAGGCGCTTTTTTGTTGTTGGTTCCAAACAACCCACAACCGTCAGCCCAAGAGTTCGTGACTAAATCTAGGGCAGAAGCCGGGCACATCGCTGAGGTGGTCGCATGTCTTCCCAAAGTCTGACAAACCTTGCTTCACTCGTCGCCAGCGGCTCTGACACAGGGGGTCTCCCATGCGCAGGCCGCCCCGCGACCAACATCTTCCGAAACTTGACGGTTCCAAGAGCAACGACGTTCTACAATTGCTGCTGCTGCTGCTGCTGCTGCTCGGGTAGCTGCTGCTGCTACCTGGCTCCTCCTGCTACCATCACCGCCATGACCACCGCTCGACTGTTGCCGCCATTTCCGTCATCACCCCATCACCACTATGACCACTATCACCAGCACCTCCATCACCAGCATCACCGCCGCCGGCACCACCACCACTGCCACCGCCACTGCCATGCACCGCCCCCGCCCCCGCCGCGGCCAACGCCAACTCCCCCGCCATCACCGCCCCCGCCATCACCGCCCCCGCCAGCGCCACCGCCACCGGCACCGACTCAGCGCCACGGCCACCACAGCAGCCAGCGTTTATAATACGCTTGACATGCTAGATGTAGTCGCCTTGCATGTCGTGATTCATCCGAAGCACCCGGAGCACTAACTCCACCTCCGCCGCAACATCTTTGCAGGGCGACAGCGGGGCTGCGGGAGAGGCTGCTGGGGAGTCGAGTCCTGGCCGATCTGGTGTGTGCTTAGAGTCTGCTGGCAAAGGTTGCAGCTGGGGCCATCGAGGCGGGCACCAGACAAGTCACGGTTGTAGATCCAAAGCAGATAGGCTCGGCACGGCTGCGGACCAGAGTCACGGGAATGTCGAGGAGTTCACACGACCCTGTTTGTGTGAATCGGCTTTAGGTGTGTCGTGCCGCAGTTCATGTCCGGAGGTGGAGCCTCACGACTCCATTTCGGTTTGTGCCGCCTCTGAAGCAGGCGCACTTCGCATCAACTTGTGCGGGAAGCATCGCTATTCTGCTTCGAGCTTTGCCGGAGTCGAATGCGGCCATGCAGAGCTTTTGCCTCGTGCTTCGTCTGCTTCGCCCCGTAGACTCGCTGAAACTTAGAAGAAGCAGCTGCGGAGGCTCCGTCGTTGGCGAGTCGCTCGTTGGACGGCCGAAGCCGCGAGCATTGCACTGCGATTTCAGTCCTTAAGGGAGATGGAGCCCCCTTTCTGGTGGGCTATGGGCTCTTGCACGCCACCGCTTCCCCTGACTCGCCTTCCCAGCACCCTCTGAAGCCTCTCAGGCCCGTCGAGGCGCCTCCTGCAACCGAACGGAGCCGTTTCCAGGCACTTAGCCCATGGCTTAAGGGTAGTTGTTTCTGCGCCGAGGGGTTTTGAGGGGGGTTTTGAGGTTTTCCAGCCATTCAGGCCTGGGGGTTCTGCTGTCTGTTGAGATCCCAACCTTGGGGCCCCCACTTGGGGCCATGCTTGGGACCGGTAGCTTTGCAGGAGCTGGACAAGGAGGCCTTGCTCCGACCTCGGAGCTCCCTCCCTCTGAGTCTCTTTCTGTCCCCTGCTCGCAAGATAAAATATGGAGACAGACCTTACCTAGTTGTACCGACTTACCTACTTGCTTCTTACTTGCTGCCGACTTGCTTACCTACTTACCTTCTTTTACTGACCTACCTACCTGCTTGCTTGCTTACTTGCTTACTTACTTAGTCAATTACTCGCTTACTGCTTAATTGCTTGCGTGTTTGCTTGCTTACTTGCTTGCTTGCCTGCTTACTTGCTTGCTTGCATACTTACTTGCCTACTTTCTGAATTTACTTACTTACTTGCTTACTTGCTTGTGTGCTTGCGTGCTTGCGTGCTTGCTTGCTTGCTTGCTGGCTTACTTCTTTGTTTATGTATGCCTGCATGCACCATTGAATCAAAGGGGAATCGTACTTCCAAGAGATTGAATCTGCCCCCGCTTCGCTACTCCAGCCCTGTTCCATACAGTCATGGGTTCAAGATCAAGGACCTGCGGGTTAGTCCTCATGCGTGAGAAACTTAGTAACATTAACGAAGGCAGCCATGTTGGTACCCCTGTCAGCATCAACCAGGTCATCCAAATTTACCACCTCCTGCTGATGATGCTGTTGAAACGTCCAACTGTGACTCCTAAGTGTACAAGAGCGATATATGCATGAGTGTGTGTGTGTGTGTAGATGCATGCATGCAGGCATGCATGCATGCATGCATACATACCTACCATACAGTACATTACATTACCTTACCTTACATTACGTTACATTGCATTACATTGCATTACATTGCATTACATTACATTACATTGCATGACATTACATTACATTACATACATGCATACACATACATACTTACACATACATACACATACATAAATACATACGGACATACATACATCCATACATCCATACATCCATACATGCATACATGCATACATGCATACATGCATACGTGCATACGTGCATACGTGCGTACATGCATACGTGCATACGTGCATACGTGCATACGTGCGCACGTGCATACGTGCATACGTGCATACATATTCAAAAATAGGTCTACAGATGTGCACATGCACACACATACGCACGCATACACTCTCTATGCGTCGTCTATCTAGCTAGCTACCTGTCGATCTATATCTCCATCTATCTCGTGAACGCGGTCAGTACGACAGCAAGCAAACAAGCAAGTAAGGTCGGTAATTTGCAAGCAAGTAAGCAGGTAAGCAAGCAAGCAACTGGGTAAGCAGGTATGTAATTCATCAGAGTTGATTGCATGTTACAAGACATCTTCAAGATTTGAAATCTCGTGTTGTTCTAAACTATCCTAAATTTACCCAGGTCGGGTGAGGCGGGTATGAGTGGCTCGGAGAGGGACTTCCTGGCGGCCCTGCGGGCGGTGCACGCCCAGGTTATCACCGAGGCAGGGTTTTCGAGTCTTAAGACTGAAGAAAGCTGAAGCGTTTCAGGGTAAAGATGATGTCAAGGTGTTTTTTCGATTCGGCGTTCAGAGACAATGCGGGTTGAGGATTCTGCTCGAAAGCGGGCTTTGGGATCAGGGTGGAAGGGTACAAGTTCGGAGTGAGTGGCGTTTCAGGATTCGTGAGCTTCTTACCTAACGTCCGGTCCATGAGCGCGTAAACTGGCGTACTTCCATGCCGCCGTCCCACGATCGTGAGCCAGCATTCCAAAGCATGAAGGCATCAGGCTTGCAGAGCTTCGGTTGTGGATTACGGCCTGTGGCGTACTTCGAGCAGGATGAAGCTCCAGGGGATTCTCGTGCCTCCGCGTTGCAGGTTTTCGGGAGTGTTCATGTTTGTGTGGGCCATAGGCCTGGGGCCGTTGAGTCGCAGTTTGTCATGGGGTCCAAGCAGTGTCCTTGCCTTCTGCACAGTGCTCCATCAGCACCAAGAACTCGCGAGTGCTGGACTCAGCACCAGAGGGGAGGTGCATACGCGGGCAAGATGCAGACATGGTTTACGTCGATTTACGTATATTTATATACTAACATATACCGTGATTAGGAACAGCGGCAGTGGCAGTGGCAGTCGCATTTGTAGTAGCAGTAGCAGAGCAGTAGCAATAGAAGAAGCAGCAGCGGCAGCAGCAGCAGCAGCAGCAGCAGCAACAGCGGTGTCGTCGCAGGAATCGTCGTCGTCGTCGTCGCCGTCCTCGTCGGACACACAAACAGATTCGCCTGCCCTTGCAGCAGCGGTAGCGGCTGCAATGAAAGCACTGCACAAGCAGTCCTCGCCGCGGTTGCATGCACCTGTGGCCTGCAGCAGTAAGTCGACTTAGTGTTGCCCCCTGGAAGCTGAAACTTGCGTGTCCAGAGAGCCATGGCAGAGACGTTCGCGTTCAATGCTGACATCCAGCAGTTGATGTCCCTCATCATCAACACCTTCTACTCCAACAAGGAGATCTTCCTCCGAGAGCTCATCTCGAATGCATCGGATGCCCTGGACAAGATCCGGTAGCAGTCCTGGTCAGTATCTCTGAAGTGGCTTCGCCAGCGTCTGGTACATAGCGCTGTGTCCCTTTCAAATCAGGTACGAGTCCATCACGGACCCCGACAAAATCGAGGCGCAACCTGAGAAAAGGGGTCAGGGGGAGGAGGGGAGCCGCAGACATGTGAAGTTTGGCTTCAGTACTAGTGTTTTTGTGATTGGCTGGGCCGTACAAGTCTTACCGTCAACAAACATGGGTTTAGGCTAGGCCTTTCATGACATCAACTTTCACTTCAGGCTCAGCCGAACTTCTTCATCAAGATCATTCCCGACAAGACGAACTCCACCTTGACCATCGAGGATTCCGGTATCGGCATGACCAAGAACGAGCTGATGAGGCCAATTTGGCCCAGGGGCTGGACCTTCCTGGTCCTGCGGCTGGCAGCTTGGTGACGTGTGAGGGCCACAAGTGGGCCTGGAAGTCTGCCAAGTCTACCTTGGAGCGAAGGTGTGCCCTGGTTACGGGATGCACCGCGTGGCACAAGCAGGCATTGCGGAAGAAGCTTGGCGAGGCGGCCCCTGACTGCCTTTGCGGCCAGCGTCTTCCTTCGAGACCGCACCTTATCTGGAATTGCAGTCGGACCGCGGACCTGGTCACTGGCATCCCGCCTCCGACCACCAGACTGCATGAAAGGTTGCTGGCGCAAGCGGTGCCGGAGATCCCTGTTGGGCCCATCGTGCTTGATTACGACGGCTATGTGAGCGACCTCTCCGAGGTGTTGCAGGCGTGCTTGACGGCCGAGGGCGAGGTGCTGCTGGCGACGGACGGCAGCGTCGTCGACACGGTCTCGGCCTGGGCGGTGGTGCTGGACAGCGACCGCGGTGTCTTCTCGATGGGGGTGGATGCGGAGGACCAGAGCCCACATCGAGCGGAGGCGGAGGGCATGCTTACGGTGGTTCGTGCTTTGCATCGCTGCACGGCTGCCGGGCGAGTCCATCTTCTTGCGGACTGCCAATCAGCCATTGCGACTTTGCAAGGTGGTGGGGACACTCAGGTGCTTTCTCGCCACTCTCTGCAGCTGCAGGCGGAGATGAGGGGCAGGATCGAGATCCTTTGGTGGTGGGTACCATCGCACGGCAAGCTGGCCTCTCACAAGTGGCGTTGCCCGCCGTGTGGCGAGATGAAGGCCAGGGCTCTGAACGCTGCTGTGGACCGTGCTGCTAGAACCTGCGCCACGGCGCGGGCCCAGGGAAGCGAGCGACAACGTTGTCTTCGGCTTCGAGAAGCTGCTTTGGAGTGGGAGAAGAAGGCGCATCTGGCTTTCCGTCAGGTCGCCTCACGCTGGGCCGAGGCCTAGTCTTCTTTCTGCGGTGGATGGACGGCAACGGCTTTGACACCGTGCTGTTCGTGAACCTTTCCCCCCCCCCCCAAGAACGAGCTGATCAACAATTTAGGCACGATTGCCAAGTCTGGCACCAAAGCTTTCATGGAGGCCATGGCCGCAGGTGCGGAGGGGGTGCGGAAAGAGCACGACTGCTTTTGCAACAGCCTTACTCAGTTCAGAGCTCGCCATTCACCCCAACAGGTGGTGACATCTCCATGATCGGCCAGTTCGGCGTCGGCTTCTACAGTGCCTACCTTGTTTCGGATAAGGTTCGCGTCGTCAGCAAGCACAACGACGATGAGCAACTCGTGCCTGCATTGCGCAACGACTCTAGCGTTTTCGCACGACGATGAGCCAAACACGATGAGGCCACATGCTACATTGACATAAACATGTTCGGTATTGCCGGTATTGCTGTTGACAGCTAGTGACTCTTCCAGGATGCAGAAGATCTAAGCACTCTGTGCCCAGGGCAGCACGTTCGGCAAGCCTAGACTCAAATGGTAGCAATTCAATCGACCACTCTCCAAGACCTTCACCTCGCAACAGCATCCATCTGCACTTCGAAAACCACTGGCCTGGCGCTTCCTAAAACAATTCCAAAATGTATTGGCTTTCCAAACAATTCTAAAAGGCAATACATTTGGGAGAGCGGAGCTGGTGGATCCTTCACTGTCCAGAAGGACACAGAGCTTGTCCATGGAGAGATCAAGCGTGGCATCACGGACGCAAACAAGACCCTTACCAGTTTGAAATCGTAATGCTTAAGGTGTGCCGCATTTGTGGTTGGGTCGGTGGCCGCCTAGGCACCAAGATCATCTGCTACCTCAAGGAGGACCAGTCGGAGTTCTTGGAGGAGCGACGCCTGAAGGACTTGGTCAAGAAGCACTCCGAGTTCATTGGCTTCCCTATCGAGTTGTACGTGGAGAAGTCCAAGGAGAAGGAGGTGACGGATTCTGAGGAAGAGGAGCGTTTTGCGGCAGTGCAGATATGCATGTCCAGCTATTCTGCAAATCTGACTAAATTTTGTTGATCTGGCATGTGCTTCCTTCATATTATCTTGAAGGAGGAGGAGAAGAAAGATGAAAAGGAAGGCCTTCGGGTTGAGATGAGGCATATGAGGATCACGTCAAGATTTCCTAGGGCCTTTGGGGGGAAGAACGGGATGCGCTGTGCAGGTCCTAATCAGTTGTCTCGTGGCACCCGTTCAGGCGACGAGCCCAAGATCGAGGAGGCAGTGTTTTTGATTTTGCTGTGTTTCGCTTGATGTGGGGATCTTCTGCATGACGAGCATTTTGTTAGGAGCATCTTGAGAACTGTGGCAATGTTTGGTTCCGAAGTTCAAACGTCTAAGTTGGAGTCGGTGTCAATCTCTCGTTGGAGCAACCCATTACAGCTCCTGACGCTCACACTCAAGGCTTGATTCTGGAAAGCGGGGGCAACACAGAAAAGCTCTAGGTTGATGAAGAGAAGGAGAAGGAGGAGAAGAAAAAGAAGACCAAGCATGGCAACCGCATCATTCCATCAGCCGCCAGCTGCCCTCCTGGCTCAGCTGAGCAGTCGGCGAGAAATGTTCGCTTGTCACCGAGGAAGGTCAAGGAAGTCTCGCACGAGTGGAAGCAGCTGAACAAGCGCCCAGCCCATATCTGGATGTGTTCTTCATTTTTCTGACTCGCCTTCAGGCTGGTTTAAAGCAGAGCCCGTTGAGCTTCCAAGGAACAAGCCGCTTTGGATGCGCAAGTCCGAGGCGGGATACCTTTGTTTTCGTGACCCGAAGGGTTTGATGACAATGCCTGAGTAAAATGATATGCATTGCTGCGGAAGGATGTGACCAACGAGGAGTATGCCTCCTTCTACAAGTCGCTGTCCAACGACTGGGAGGTGTGGTCGGCAAGTGTGCGCACGTTCCACGTTGCACTCTCATTGTGTTAGTTCGATTCGAAGGACCACCTTGCTGTGAAGCACTTCAGCGTCGAGGGTCAGCTGGAGTTCCGTGCGCTGCTGTTTGTGCCGCGCCGGGCACCTTTCGATATTTTCGAGACCAAGAAGAAGAGGAACAACATCAAGCTTTACGTTCGTAGGGTCTTCATCATGGATGACTGCGAGGAGCTCATGCCCGAGTGGCTGAATTTTGTGAAGGGCGTTGTGGACTCAGAGGATTTGCCTTTGAACATCTCTCGCGAGACCCTGCAGCAGAACAAGATCCTGCGTGTCATCAAGAAGAACCTGGTCAAGAAGTGCTTGGAGATGTTTGCAGAGATCGCAGAGAAGAAGGACGACTACAAGAGACTTGACAGCTTTACCTACTGATCTGCGGGTAGTCTGAACCGTCTGCATTGTCATTGCTTCTGGGAGCCTTTCCCTTAGCCTCTTACTAAGGAAGTTCTATGAGCAGTTCGGCAAGTGCTTGAAGTTGGGTGTCCACGAGGACTCCACCAACCGCACCAAGGTCGCGGAACTGCTGCGCTACCACACCTCCAAGTCGGGTGACGAACAGATCAGCCTGAAGGAGTACGTGGATCGTATGAAGGAGGGCCAGAACGACATCTTTTACATCACAGGTGAGAGCATTGCGGCCGTGTCTTCTTCACCTTTCCTGGAGACACTCCGAAAGAAAGGCATCGAGGTGCTTTACATGATCGACCCCATCGACGAGTATTCAGTGCAGCAGCTGAAGGAGTTTGATGGGAAGAAGCTCAAGTCCACCACTAAGGCCTGCAGCTTCAGGGAATGCTGTTCCACAGTGTCATTCCGTGGCCCGCTACAAAGACACAGAAACAATCAAGCTCGAGTCTACATCTAAGGAAGGTTTGGACATCGAGGACGAGGATGAGAAGACGCTGTGGCGAGAAGATCACAGTCCTAGGGTTTTGGAGGTTAAAGATTCAACTGGCTATGGATCTGCAAGCACAAGAAATCCTTTTCTCCGTTTCCGGTTTTCCCAAGGAAGAAGCTGGAAGAGATGAAGGCCGAGTTCGAGCCTCTCACAAAGTTGATGAAGGAGGCAGCGGGATCCGGGATCCGGCGTTTATTGTTCTGCGGACGATCATACGCTTGTGGGTTCAATGCTTCACCTGCTAAACCCCCTAGGCCGTGAGCGTATCACATCCGCATTCGACCCTGCACTGAATACCAATGTCAGTGCCAATGGGTGCATCGCCCTGCAAAGGTCCTGGGAGACAAGGCCGCTTGGAACTCTTCTTAAGACCGGCTGGGATGACGGTATCCTGCGACCACCTAATTCACCCCCTTGTCTTTCATAGTCTTACTTTCGGTTTTACTCCAACCTCCACTTCACTCTTCTGGGCAGAAGGTCGAAAAAGTCATTGTGAGCTCCCGCATGGCCGATTCGCCCTGCGTCTTGACAACATCAGAGTACGGATGGTCTGCCAACATGGAGCGCATCTTGGCACCGTTTGGAGCAGCTTGTTGCCGGCATGTTGGGAGGCCCTCGTCCTGTTTTTTGTCTGTCTCCCTCTCTTTGTCTCTCTTCCTCTGTCGTAGTCTCTATCTCGCTCTCTCTCTCTCTCTCTCTCTCTCTCTCTTTTTCGTTCTTTGTCTCTCTCTCTCTCTCTCCCTCCCTCCCTCCGTGTCTCTCTCTCTCTCTCTC